TCAGGTTCAGCAAATAAGAGTTAAAAACAAAGAGAAAATAACTGATATTTGACAACTATACCTGTCTAAAATCTTTTTGTTCTTGTGTCACATTGCCGGGTAAAGGAGACAGAGAAGTGCAGTTCTGGGTTTGAGTCACTAGAAGGCGCTGCACTGGGCAAGAGGATGCCTGGCCTTGACCCCCTATCGAGCCGACCAGAGTCAGACGCCCAGGAGCGCAGGATGTTTGTACGGGTGTGGAGCTTGCACAGGAAACTCCCGTCCACGTCTGAGTTACAGTCCCTACAACCTGAGTCCCACTTACGACTCCCTGATTTAGGATTAGCTGACTTCCTGGTGCAGAGAAGTTCTGCCCTGGTGCAATCTGCACAGTGGGTTGGTTGGCAATTAGGGTGCTTGAGCTGGGATTGGCAGAGCCATTGTGGATGGCGTTGGACGGAGTAAGCGTCAAGGAGTTGGGTAGTAAGAATTGTCCTTGCGATATATTTGTCTGGGCCTGCATTTGTTGCTGGTCCATTGGTGGTTGCACAACTACTGAACCATTAGCTGTATACTGTCCTCCAGGAGTAACAGTGTTAGCGTTCACAACACTACTCAAGGTAGAGGGAGTGGGTTGAAGACCAAGGCTGAAGACAGTCTGAGACGCAGCTTGAGAGGGTTTAGGCTGGATTGGTCTAACGATAGCCTGGGTCCCTCCAGGTCCTCTCTGAATGATGATGTTTTGAAGGGGGATGTTTTTGAAAGGTAAGCCCACCTGCCCTTGAGTTGGGGCAAAGACCTGCCCCCCTGCTGCAGTCACTGCTGGAGCAACAGGCACTCCTGGCCTTAGAACAATCTGAGGAGTTCTTTCCAAGCTGCTCAGAGTCATTACACTTCCACTTGCCCCAAACGAGCCCAAGACCTGGATATGCTGGGTAGAGCCATTGGCCAGTGGAGGAACTCCTTGCAGTACCTGGCCTGCTGGGAATGCAGCTGTCGCAGTGGTTACCACACCCACTCCTCCTCCATAACCCCCAGAGACCAGCTGGGAGGAGAAGGGAACTGGAGCTTGTACGAGATTTGGAGCTGGCTGGCAGTCCAACATGGCCTCCTGGGCCAAAGTCTGTTCTGTAATGTCAGCTTCCAATAGAGACTTCTGGAGAATGTCAAATGGCTGATCCTCTGCACCAAGGTCCACCCCTTCAGGGGAGCTTCCAGCCCCCAGTTCATCCTCGATAAAAGAGAGGCTACTCGAGAGGTGGAGGCCTCCTCCAGCTGGATCCTCCACAAATTCACCCATCGAAGAAGAGCCATCCTTGAGGCCAGTATTGCAGCCAGTCTGAAGGAAACATTAAAAGTGTCAGCATTATTGTATATTTAACTTTAAAGACCTTTTATTTATTCCTGAAAACATATGTTTTTCATATATCTATCTGTCAAAATATTTTTCTTGTACAAGACAATCCTGAACTAGAAAGAAAATTGGTATTTGAAGATTTGTCATCAATAATGGTGCAATGAAGCTAAATCATGGCTTGTATGTATGGTGCAAAAACATTTTCAAGCATGTAGTTAAAACCTAATAATTAATTGCAATGTAAGGCCACTAAGTTTATTCTTTCAACTGCAACCACTATGTAATTCTTGTTTGAATTATGATTGTATTTTACTTAGGTGCAAATACAAATATATACTCACCGTCTCATTACTGAAAAAAGATCCATCTGACCCATAAGCTGCATTTGCCACGTCATCTTCTCCAATCTATTAAAAAAAAACCACATAAATTAGGCTACCAATGTGCTGATTTTTTAAAAATGGTTGAAAATGTTCAGCAAATGCCACTTACAGACTTGCTATTACTGCCGTGGAGATAATCGTTCAATGCTTCCACATCTCTGTAAATGGCGAAGAAGAGAAACTTACAACAGGCAAAATTTAATTGTTTACATTTATGAATCACATAATAATTGGTGAAAACTTTTTTCCAAAAATCTTCAGGTTAACTACATTAATTTAAGAGATCAGTATTAACTTGATAAACTTTAATGTCAACATTTTGTGCATTGATTTTGCATCACTTTAGGAAGGTGTTTCTTTTACCCTAAAATATCCAGAAGACGGCGATCGTCGTCATCATCCATGACACCTGAAATGGTATTGAGTGAAAACGTGAGGCATGGACGCACACACAATCTCAATACCATTTGTTTAAATGTTCCTGAGCGTGCTGCACCTCCAACACATGCATCTATAAAATAACAAACATGTTTGAATTGTACTATACTTAGGTAGAAATAAATGCTCTTCCAGACATTAGAACACTCTTCTTGACAGAGTTCATTTAAATTGGTTGGTCTCCTGGTTAAATAGAAATGAACATTATAAACATTTTAAATTTCAATGTCGCAATTAATCTCCATTATTCAACTTTATTATCTCAGTTCCTCAAATCCAGATATGGTGTAGAGGAAGTAAAACACTGTCCAATAAAGTACTTTACACATTTAGGGTGTCATAGCAGAGCACTTGAGAAATAATATAGTATCAAACATTGTACTTATATAGTCTTTAGTGGCTGCAATATTGCACTTAAAATTTGCATTGGCATGACGATTGTAATTATTACATTGTTGTGCTCTTTTGATAAGACTGATGGAAGTTTTGGTAGAGATTATTATAGCTTATTAATAACCTGAAATATTCCTTTGTAAATAAGATTTGACGTGTTTAGCATTTCAGTCCTGATGAAACCAAACTGTATGACGGTTTGACCTGCCTAAATGTACATTTTAGAAGACACTGACGAACTACGGCACTTTGTCCATCAGCTTTGAGTAAAGCAGCAGATTCTCTTTTCACTGTGGACGGTAACACTGGTGTTTAAGAAGATTCCACTTCTATCTAGGCTTCAGCTTTGGTGATTCTTTAGTTACAAATTTGGGCCGTCTTCTATTTATTTAGCATTTTGATTCTTCCGGAATCAAAATACTATTTTGTACAACTGATAGTCATAAAATCTGCCTTTTTTTAAAAAGAAAAACTGCAAATTTTCTTAAAAAGCAAGATTTTCTAAATGCATATAAATCTACGGCTCTCTTTTCTGGGTCATCACTGAGTTTCTTGAACCTTACCATTGAATTAACCCCTTAGTCATGATGACACTGGTGTCCTCCCAGATCTATTGACTTGCGTGTCAGTGTTTTCAGAGTGGCAGCAATGAGGTTAGTCAATCTAATGAGGGTCATTCTGAGGCTTTTCCACATTAAAATATATTCTAGAACCATAACTCAAAAAAAAGGACAAATAATGTATGTACATATTGGTATATGTATCATTTTGACTCAGTTTGGACAAGTAATAACTTGTTTTCATAGCAGCTATTTGTTGTAGGAACATTCCACCATAAAAGAGTGGTCACAATAAAGCTTTAAAAGCCCAGAGTAATTATAACAATCATGCTGATGTTGGCATTCTATACAATGTGATGATGATAGTAGGGGCATGAAACTCACAAGATGTCCACCAGGAAGCATGGATTCAGTCATGTAACAGCCTTATTCTCTTGTAACAGGCTGGGCTGCAGGGTGAAAAACTGTTTTTAGTAAATTTACAAGGTCATTGGCCAGGGTTATTGCAAATAGTGAGTATGGTAACCTGTAACACAGATTCAGAGGGTGAAATAAGGCAGTGGAAGGGGACATTTGTTATTCAGTACACAAGTGAAGAACAGGAAGGCTTTCACCACTCCTACAAATGCTTTTGACACACAAACTCCCTCCCATTACTCTTCTGTGCTGCCCTTCGCTGGTTATAACTTGTGCTTGCAGTGTAAAAACTTACACTCAGGTGCAAATACTGGCTTATATAATATACACATTATACAGATTTGTAGTTCAATGTCCAGCTGAATGGCTTTATGTATCAGCCAGAATTGGTGTGCTGTAATATTTGAATAATTCTCTGGCAGAACTCTGTAAAAGGGTGTCAGGAAAGCAACCCCCCGGTAGCACCGTGGAAAAGGCAGTAAAAGACTTTATTCTGGTCAGTTATTGTAAGAGTTTGGTCGTTGTGTGGACATGTGTGGAAGCAACTGCAGCACTACAAAATGGCTGTACCACACCATGGGGCTGTCTTTGTAGCAGCACCATGCTTAGCCACCATCTTTGATTCTCGGTGAACAAAGACAAGAGTGGGAAATTGTATCAAAAACTACCAATCTTTTGCTAAATTGCGAGCGAACACAAGAAAAAAAAAGAGAAGCACGCCAAAGTTAAGCTTTTATCCCTCTAGACAACTTCCGACTATTTTGTTCGCAATGGCGACGATTAAAGCACAGAAACGGAAATCAAACATTTAAAGGGCTACACATTAAATGTTATTGAACAAAAACGGTAATATTTTATACTTAAGAAAGCAAATTATAAGGTTAACGGGGGTGTCTGCTCTTATGTTTAACAAAAATTTAGCTCAGGTCGTAAAAACAAGATGAGATTGGAAGTCCATTTCCAGTTAAAAACATTTTTTGTTACCACACTTAACTAAATCTTTTTGATTCAGGTGTTGAACAAGTTTTGAAACGAAACGTTAACAAATACGAGTATTCCTATACGGGTTGGTTTTAACGTTTTGTTGTAGTCTAGCGCTGATATTTCCGAAAAAAAAAATCAGTCCTAGCATGTCGGTAACCCCACAGAAAAAAAGAACAGCCCCGAGTCCGAGCTTCTTTTTGTTGTTGTTTAAACGCTGGCGTTTTTTAAATGAAGCGATTGCTGAGCAGTTGAGTTCGTAGGTTTAAATCCCCCCGAAATAAACCGAATCGAGAAAAAGATAATCGCGTTGAAGCAGGACAAAACGCCCGTTCGTCTCTGACGCATTTTCTTTGCCTGCTCCTGGAAGGGGAAGCCTTCATTTTGCCTTCGATGCTTGGCTCACCCGCCAGCACGACGGAAAAAAAAAACACAACACCGTCACTTTTGTGCCGAGCGGAGGTTTATTTCAGGTTTCATCCCCGGCTGGGACGCTCTTCAGTCTCGGACGCCGCATTTTCAGCTTCAACCCTCGGCCTGTTCTCGCTGTCAGGTTAGCTAGCCACAATGTCGTCGACGCCTGTTTTGAAACCGTCAGCTGGAATTCGCTGGAAAGGCTAAAGGACTAAACCGCGTCGAGCCATAAATATTTATCCCGATTAGCATAACATAAAGACGACTGAAAAGAGGCAAACCCTTTACTCCTGTCTCACTCCTCTTGAAACCCAATATCTCCATTTGGCAACTTTTAATTTGCTCCCCCCTCCTTCTCCTCCTCCTCCTTCTTCTCCCTCTCCCACTCATATATTTTTCTCACTGTCCCTGTTCTGTCTCGGATAGATTTTTCTCTCCGCTCAAACTCTCTTCCCTCCCTGAAGGAAGGGAGGAAGGAGCCTGTGTGTGTTTTTTCCTTGAAATTTTTATCACAAAATTATAATACACTCAAAGGGGAACTCACCGTCATGAAAAAGCAGTGTCTTGTCAACGGGGTTTCCTCGCCATCACCGCACGGGTCGCTGGGGTAATGCATGCAGCGAAATCAGCGGAGTTCAACGACACCAAACGACCCCACATATTCCTTCGGGAAATATACAAACTCCGATAATTTATTAATAAAAAAATAATGTAACATCAACTTGTATTTTATATATCACATAATATATTTTCATACGCCAATGAATAAAAGACATATGCTTTATCATGACCAACGGTAGAGGGCGGTCCTGTGTTTACCACACCTTGACATTCCTCAGCTATGAACATGTGATCCAGCTTCAGCAAAACCAGGCCAAATTTAGTTTTATTTTCATTTAATATCTCCCATTATTTAGGCTACAGTGGACACAAAGAGTTATTGTGTCCAACTATAAGATCATAAAATAGCTGGAGATGTAAAAACTTGCATATTCAAAGTAGTTAGAAAACGATATATTTATCTCTAACAATAAATATTGTCATAACTCATATAATCCAGGTATATTCAAAGAGTCACAGAAGGGTTCCTGGTGTTGTGTTCAAGAAGCCTCTGACTGAAATATGTTGCTGTATGACAGCAACTGCTCAGCTCAAAAGCTAATCCATCGTATCTGCTTTTGCTTTTCCTCTTCAAATTTATGTCTGACCATACAGTTAGAAGTCAGGGACATGATCTGATCCTTATCCATTATGTAACAGAAGGTTTGAACTTCCTCTTTCTATATCTGATATTTGATCCTGCTCTGCCTCCATGAAGCTTTCTTTTCAACCCCTCTGGGTCCTTGGCTGTAGTTCAGCTATTTGAGCTTTTGAGATACTAATCAGCTGCTCCCAGATGAAAAGGTAGTATCTTGTTCCCAATTTTATGCATGATAAAACTGTCAAAAGCTAAAATAGTGACAGCAAAAAATCTAGCTGCACATCATCCAAACCAAAGAGAATGGTGATCATGTCAACAAAATCTTTCAAACAAAGAAGTTATTAATAAAAGTCTGCAAAAAGAAGAAATCAGAACTAGTGTGAAATAGCTACTCTAACACCCTGGCAATATTGCAATGTTATTAAAATGATCCGTGTTGCTTGTGTCACTATTTCCTTCCTATCAACTTTTCATTAATATACTCACAGCTGTAAGTGAATAACCCGATTCACTTACAGAAAAGGTACCGGTGTACCTTTTGTGACTTACCCTGTCAATGTCTATCTGCTTGACAGCTGTTAAGTCAGTGATCTTTCCCATGATTATGTAGACCATAACATAACATTTCTGCATTAAAAATCATGAATGTTGGTTTTTTGTCAGTCAAACTGATCACAAGACGCACCTGAAATACATAATTTTTGGAGCAATGTAGCTGTATAATATTTGAGTTTTACTTCTCAAACTTAATTAATTTTCATCAAAATTAATTAACTGTATTATGATTTTTGTTTTATATTTACAGGGTTGTAGTTTTGGAAGCTTTTCTGTGAGGTCTCTCTACCAGCAGGTGGCAGTGTGGAATTTTGCTGGTTTTGTAGTGGTCGTGACATCACATCCGTAACCGTATCAACATGGACGCAACTGTGGAAACAGGTGAAGAAAATGGGTGTTATGACAGAAATGCAGTCGCCAAACTCCATGAGCGAATCGAGAAACGTCAGCAGGTGTTGGCAGAGGACGTTGAGCGAAGGAAAGAGGCGAGACAGAGCCAGTCGGTGGCTGAGGAGAAGAGTGAGTATTTTGTGAGCACTTTTAACGCGGAGCAGGCGGCTATCCAGGAGCTTCTTTCCGACTGTTCTGGAGCGGACCCAGCCACTGTGTCCCAGAAACTGGAAGAGGCCACGGCCAAGATGACGCAGCTACAGAAATTTCTGAACGACAGCATGATATTTCTGAGCCAGTACGGAATAAAAGTAGCTCAGGGAGCTTTGCAGAAGCTCCAAGCATCTCTGAATGAGACCAGAGAGGAGGCCCTGCCCAAGAAAAAGTTCACATTTAGATCGAGAACCAAAGCTACGGAGAAGGTCTCTGATTCTCCTCCTCCTTCATCTGAGACTGTGAGTTCACGTGTCACAAAGGTGGATGAAGCTACAATCTCAGAGCAGACTGGCTTCTCCAACATCAGCAACGAGTCCCTAACAAAGACATCAGAGGAGATCCAAAACAGAGATGTGCTGCTGACTCACCTGACCAACTGCAAGGTTCGTCTGTATGGTTCTCCCAACACCCTGCACCTGAAACACATCACAGCCTGTGAGGTTCTTTGTGGACCTGTAGCTACCTCTGTGTTCGTGGATCACTGCAGCAACAGTGTCCTAGGCTTAGCCTGCCAGCAGCTGAGGACCCACAACACCACCGACACTCAGGTGTACCTGCATGTCACCAGCCGGGCCATCATCGAGGACTGCCGAGGGGTGAGCTTCGCCCCATTCTGCTGGTCTTACCCCACCCTGGACCAGGATTTTACTGCCTCTGGCCTGGACCAGGACAGAAACAACTGGAACCATGTGGATGACTTCAACTGGCTGGCTGCTGGGATGCCGTCCCCAAACTGGACTGTTATTCCAGAAGCAGACAGAAAAAATACATGGGACCCTTAAAATTGAATGTTTTAAGATGTTCTCCAAGTTCACATGTTCAATTGAACTTGTGAACTTGAACATGTGATTTCATTTAATATCTCCCATTATTTAGGCTACAGTGGACACAAACAAAGGGTTATTGTGTCCAACTATAAGTTTATAAAATAGCTGAAGAATAGCTCAATATCACTTAATATCAATTAAGTCATATTGAAAAGCCCACCTGATTATTGTCATAGATCCATTCAGTCTTGGGTGAAACACTTAAATGTAAGTTATGTATACATTTATTCTTTAAAATAAAGTTTATTGCATGTTATTTGTACTTCTTATTACTCTAAAACCCCTTTACCTACTTGGTTTTTTTTAAAGTAAAATTTTAGATTGTTTCTTTACAGTCAACATCGGTCACTGCTATTCGTGTATTTAGATTTATGATAATTAAAAGTTTCCATGTTTAAAAACAGAAAATCTTTCATCAATTCGTTCTTATGGTCTGTATAAGATGAAAGTTTCACTGAATTTCTAAAATAAATTAATGTGATAATCTAACTTATTAAATGCAGTAGTAATAGTGGTTAGAACAGTGCCTCCTCAAAATCAAATGTGGGGAGCTGGTATCCTCTGAAAAAAATACATTCAATAATTTAAATGTTAAAACATAACTTAAAAGTGGATGGAAGCGCTTACGGCCCAGTAAATTTGCAGTTTGAAAATGTGTTTTTCACATTGCGTCTCTCTAGATAACATAACAAAAATGCTTGTAAACGCAACAATTAGAGTGGGTCATGAGTCTCTGCCACTGGCTATTTTAGGTCAGAAACACAAAGGTTTGGGTTAAAATTTGATCCTGTCCATTTCAGTACAGTCACAATAGTGAGAAAAAAATCCCACCTGGTGTGCAAGTCTTTTCACTCCATGTAATATATTGTGAGACAATTGGCCATTCTGTCCAAATTTTGTGCTGATAAGCGATGGGACTTAAAAAGTGTTAGCGTGCAGTGTTTGTGTGGAGTGTCCAGGAACACTAACCTAATTACCTGAGCACCCAGTGATCTGATAATCCTATCAACAACACTGATCTGTTAAAAGTCGGAACCAAGTTGTTTTTAAAAACACTTGTGAAATAATTTTTAATATACCAGTATGTTAATAAGTGAATTTCAACTATACTTTTGTACTGCTAGTACTCAGGTGCAAAACAGGTTTGTACATTTGTATACTCTAAAATATATAAAAATGTAATCATTACTTGAGCTTTTAACATGGTCCAAAATACCAAACATGCCTGCCTTCTGACTAGACAGATATTTTACATTGTTTACACGGTCAGATTTTTGGAGAGTGTCTCTGATTTTAAGTAGACACACGCTCTGAACTCAGGTTGGGTAAAAAGGTCATTTTAGAATTAAAATGACAAATTTGTTGTTGGGTGTCTCGTCTTTCTTTTGTTTGTTTTTTAGCATTTATCTACAGAAGCTCTTGTTCCCTTGAAGCTGCAAATAAATAATACACAAACCAAATGATTTACTGTATCCATTTAAAATAAAAGAGAAATTCAAATAAGAAGTACAGGGCCAAACTTTCTTTAATTAATTGAACAAATCAGTAAAAGAACAGTAGATTTAATAATGAGGAACGACAAGGGCATGTGGGAATACAAACATTTCAAGAAAATAGCTCACCTTTCCTAAGATGAATAGATTGAAGTGTGTTACTTTCACTCATCACTTTATTTCTCATTTTATCCCATTTATGCACTTGGGGTTATAAAGCCTCGCCCTGCCACTTTCAAGTATACTTTTTGTCACGGCCAAATAACTCAATCTTTTTTCCATCTGACCACAAAAAAAAAAAAAAACTTGAATAAAACTTGTGAAACCAGGTCTTATTTTAAATCATCAAGTAACTCACTTTCTGGCCCATGTTGACAGGATTTAAGTATATGACAGGAGCTGTGGAATGGCAATATAGTAAATTACATATCATAAAATTCAAATAAAAATACTTTAATAATCACACATGGAAATTGATTCCATGATTGTTCAATACATGTTATTATTTCTACTATAATCGTTAAAATGTAAGAGACCCACAATGCAAAAAATAACAATTATGTGGATTGTTATTTCCTAAACCCAGAGGACAGGAGAAGTAGAAAAGTAGAGAAGTAGAAAACGACAGCCCTTTTCCACCCAAAGCTTGTGCTGTAGGACAATAAATGTAGCATTATTTTGTTGTATAATGAGTACATTCATCATGACTTCCCTAAACCCAACTATAGTAGTAGTGCAACTTCTGTGTCAGTGTTGCACAGAGTGTCAGGAAATGAGGGGGCTTAAGACATGTCGCATGTGACACTTCATGTGCCACTCTGGAATAGGTTAACTTAAAATGTATCTCACTTATTTTTGAAATTGTAAATAGGTGAGGTAAGGTGCACCTGAAGACTGACATTTCTGCACATTCTCTTTTGCAAAATACTTCAATCTCATTAGATTGAGGGTGTCTGTGAACATCAAGACCCTTTGATCTAAATCGCTCCATTGTGGTTCTGATTATGTGTTTAGGGTCCTTGTCGTCCGGGAAGGTGAACCTTTCAGTTCAGTCTCAAGTCTTTGCAGCCACCAACATGTTTTGTTCCAGGATTGTCTTTCATTCAGCTCCATCCCGCTGAATAAAGCTTAAGAACAGCACTCCCAGGGCATGAAGCTGCCACACCATGGCTTAGATGTTGAGTTCCAGATGATGTGCAATCTTAATATTTTATATTCTCCTAGAGTGTTATTGAAAATAGTTAGTGGCAAATAATCCTAGAGGCTTTAAAATGTCAATCTTGAAGATGAGATAGTTAGTGGGATGACTAATACGTCTCTCTGATGCCCAAACTCCCTAACTGAAAAATGCATCTTGGAACAGGCTTTGACACTGAAACATCCAAGACTGCAGGTCTGTTAATATATTGCCTGAAAATAGGTTGACTGGTCATGAAAAGACTTAGTTGCCACAAAATTGACTTGGAGTGACACTTACACTGAAGCCATCGATGTGTGAATCTGTGTTTAGTTGAGCCTATTTGTTTTAATGAAAACATGGACCCCAGACCCATTCATAAACATGCTTCAGTTGTGTCACTTCTGTTGTTTCGTGATCTTTGTGAGTCTCTCTGCTCCTGTTGTGCTCCATCAAGGTTGACATTACCACGTGAACACTCAAACCAATTATGGCCCTTGGCAGCAGCTTATGATCAGGTTCATCTTGTGTGTGGGGGGGGATTTCTGCTCTGTTAATTGGATCAGGTTGCTTACAGAGGCTTAGTATGACGTACACCAACTTTGAGTTTAATCATTAGCTTCCTGAGCAATCCTCCACGTCTCTGGGAGAACGCTGCATCAGGATTAGCCTCACCTGTTTGTTTAGAAAAGAAAAAAGCCCACCCAGTTTTGGTGAGGTTGGGCTTTATGAGCTTATTTTTGTCTGGCACTATGGGAAAGGAGATGGTTTTGAAAAAATAAGACTTTGAGGTCTTGCTGAATTACCTTACCTTTGTTTCTTTGCTGTGGGATGGATTCTACATTGAGCTGTTTCTCATGTCTGTTAACTATCTTGAGGAAATTCTGATAACCAAACATCAAGGAAGCAAGAAAGACAGGTTGGCTTATTAAGGAACATTTCTAAAACTTAAGTAGAGTGTGGAAACTTTGAATCTCCTGCAACCGTACACCATTTGACCCTCTTCTTCAGTAGCGAGGACACAAAGGACTTTGCACAATGGCTTTGTTGGTAGTCAAGTTTGATTTGAAGAAGCGAGTGAAGCTTGCTCAGACGGTCTGGTTTATGTACTGGTTTGCTGTACTGGCTGGCATTCTTGTGCTCAGCTTGGGCCTATTCTTCAAGATTGAGCTCCGGAAGCGCTCAGAACTTATGGACAACAATGAGAGCCACTTCTTACCCAACGTGCTCATAGCTATGGGTCTTATAGCTTGTGGTATCAATGCCTTCGGAGGCAAAGTCTGCTATGACTCCTTGGACCCTACAAAGTTTGCAAAATGGAAACCAATGTTAAAGACATTTTTGGTTTTCTGCATGGGGTTCAATGCCCTTCTTATTGTCACCGCCCTGCTATGCTTTATAATGAGGATCCCTTTGCAGTTCACCCTGGCTGACGGTCTGAAGAATGGCATGAAATACTACAAGGACACGGACACGCCAGGACGCTGCTACATGAAGAGGACCCTGGACCTGATGCAGATGGAGTTTCGTTGCTGTGGGAATGATAACTACAGGGATTGGTTTGAGATTCAGTGGGTCAGCAATCGATACCTGGACTTCAGCGCAAAGGAAGTCAAAGAGTGAGTGTAAAGAGTTAAATTCCTAAATTTACAAGCTCAAATCCTGCAGAGTCGATAGTGTTTGGGATTGTTTATGTTGAGCTGGGTATAGGCGGATTTACAGGTGGGATAGGTCAGATGATGGGCATTTATCAAAACTAATAATACACATCTGGACAGTGGCGGCAGGCGGGCTTTAGTAAGATTGTGAAGGGTTGTCAAAGTGAAAGTTTTCACAAATATGCATTTTAAGATGATATTCGCAAGATTTTAATAATGTTGTTACAATCCAGCAATATATGACTGGTTTGTCTAAATCCAGTCATATTTATTAAAAAAGAGAGAAAGGGAGAGTTTTGAAACCCGGGGCAAAATTAGTGTTTAATCTACAGGATTACATGTCCTTCAAGAATCAGTGTCCTCTCCAATCTGTAAAGACCTGACAGCAGCTGGCCAAGAATAGTACTGCTCAACGTCAGACTTTCACATCGACAGAAAGGAGAGCAAGAGACACATTTGTTTTATTGTTTAATGTCACTTAATTTTCACAGACGTTTTGAATGGTCAAAGTTATCATGATCCACTTAGAGACCTTTGTTACTTTTCAAATCCTGTCACTGTAAATAGCATCTTTGTAGTAACCATCGATAGGCAGAGTAGCCAAAAAATGTATTCAAGTACGAGTAGAGATACTTCAACATGAGTAGAAAATAGTCATCCAAGAAATTACTCAAGTAATAGTGAAAAAGTATTTTGTAGAAAGTCTACTCAACAGCTGGGCAAATAATCATAACATCTGATTTAATACTTAAATATGATGCAATCAGACAGGAAAATGTAAACTTAGGTATAAATTCTCATATTTTAAAAACATCAGAAGGGAAGTTTATACTTCTACCAACTCATTTGACTGTTTATTGTTTGCATTGCTGTAATTTTAATTGTGACTTGGCCTTTTTGACAACACATTTTTTGCATCGTTTTTTTT